TGGAATTTCTCATATTTCCTCTTTTAAGAACAGAAATGAATCATTAAAAACAGCTTTTGCCAAGCTGGAGAAATCTTCGTGTAAATCGACTTCGATTATTAACTTATTGTAATTATTAGACCTTTCGTCACGTAAAACAATATCTCAATTTGTGAAAGTGTAATAGTGGTACCGCAACTATTCTTTGGCTATTATGGGAAAAAATGTGTATTACTTTCGAGTAATTGTAAAGATTCTTAAAAACAATACCTGTTCCTAATTTATAGTTCCAATCTTCCAACATTAACAAAATAATAGCCAGTTCCAGGTAAACAAAAACTTATCCACGGTTAGAATTTTAATTTATATTGGAACAAAAATAGTTTCGTCTTTTTTTGTAAGTCGAGGAACGGTTTGGCTGGGATGTCACAGTTTTTGAACAGCGTTTTGTTATGAATTTAAATGTACTGTAAATGAAGCACTGTAGAACATGGTGAATAACCCAGATTTATGTCCTGACCCGTGCAGACAAACAAAATAGTACTATTGGGTAATGATTTCAATGCTGCACTGTAAAATTAGGCTGCCGTTACAAGTCTAAGTACAGCATATGTAATACACTTGAATTATGCCTATTAATGTCTTATGCTTTACAATACAATGATATTGAACCAATCATAATATGATTGTGCTGACAACGTTCCCATTTTATATTTAAAGCGGAACATTTTTTCATGCAGGCAAACAGAGGTTACTTTTTAGTTATGACATAGGACTCTAGATAGGTATGACTTTCCGGGATAATCCACTGTCATTTTGACTTTGTGTTTTTTGTTTATTTAACAATATAATGCGAGGACGTATATTTCACTGTGACAGTAAATCTACTTTCGTAATCTCCAAACAACTGATGACGTTAGTATGATTAAATAAAACTTACATTTAGTTTCACCTACCTCTTCTAAAAATACAAATAAGATTGACCCATGAAATTACATTAAATTTTACATTACTTTAGGGATTGTAGGACATTAACTAAAATGTTGAACGTATCTAGTCATATTTTTTATTTATTTAATTTTTCACATAGGGCATCTAAAAAAAATATATCTCGGAAACAGCTGATATCATTTCTTCGAATTTTCCAGAAACACAATAATGTTATCTTTAGTGCTTACATAAATATCGGATGTGATATATTGACCACCGCCAAAAATTAATTACATCGTTTCAAAAAATTACTTAGTAAATCAATCTTAAATTTATGCTTTACGCTAAAAACTAAATAAGTCTTCGTTGAAAAATATGCTGTGGAATATGTTATCGTTCGTACTTCCAGTAATATTTTTAGGCTTTCATACAAAGGATGTCATAAAAATTCAATGCAGCGACCAACGTGGATACAATAATTTATGATTTGTCTGTGTGCGTGTCAAACTTAATCTCGACACAAAAATTGATGATGCCGTCTTAACAATATACATTGGATGCAAATGTATTAGGCGCAACCGGACATGCTGTGTTTCTTGTGTTTCAATAATCACATGGATATGGTATTGGAACAAGCCAATAAAGCTTTAGGATTTATTGAAAGACTGAGTGTTAAATTTATTAGTTTACGTATTATGCTAATCTTATGTGATCCACTTGTTGCCTAAATGGAATATTGCAGAATTATTTAGACAATACATTTTAATACACACATATTAAAAGAATGGAAGTAGGTCTATCTGTGTCAGTTTTTATGTGTGTTAGGAATATCATGTAGATGGTAAAACGCTAACCAAAATTTGTCTAATCAAAATTTACAATAGTCTTTTAAATTTTATAAAATGAGATATCGTGTTTTGCTTACACGTCAATAAAAATCCTTAATAAATACATTTCTGCTTTCGACAGTCATTCACAATTCCTTTCCATAAAAAGTAAAGTTGTACCACGCCTACTTGCAACATATTGATTATCGTTTGATTTAAACTTATGTTTGTCTATGTTATGTTTATAAATATGCTAATGTCCAAATCTTTAGTTTACAGTTTATTTTTACGTATACCTATAAGTTGAGTGTGTAATTGATTTATTTATTATGTAACCATTATTTGTCTTCTCATAGGGGATACTGAAAATCGTTTTGTAGCGATGTATCTCCTTTTAGACATGTATTCAAGGAATACTGTCTAATAAAGTTCTTATTATTATTATTATTATTATTATCTCTGTGCTTGTGGTTTATCAGTGTTGAGTTTTTTCCAGATTCTTGGAAAAAATCAAAATTGTATAACAAAATTTTACAATTATTTAACTTTGAAATTGTAAAATCGAATGCTCTGAAATGTTCCAGCGTGCTAATAGTCGAATTCTCTCGAATACCAAGTATAAACGGTCGAAGTTAAGCACATATAACGATGTCGATTTTTTGCTATTAAAATATTGCATATTAATCTATTTTGGTTGCTATAAAACCTTTGAATGTCTAATAAAATATGGATCTTTCTTTCATTTGTAAATCTAATGTGTAATTGTAACAACCTGTTCAGTAAAAGTAATTTTCAATTTGGTTTTTGTACGATTTTCATTTTGCAAGTTTCTTTGAAGAAGTAACATGTTTTATTGATATAGTGAAAGTTATTAACGTCGCTTTTAATGATAACCTTAACTTTAGATTAAAGTAATTTTAACTTATCTAAAACAATTCATATTCATTTAGTTTTTTGACACCGTGGAGTTGTAGATGACTATGTTTGTATTTAAAAAATGCTACTCAATTAAGATTATATTTTTAAAAAACATTGGTGGTATTAGAATTTTTAACTCAAGATAAAATTATTTCCACGATTCCGACCCTAAGAATATTCAAATAAAATAAACAAATCAATTTTTAATGTAAACAGTAGTGGCACATCTAATCGAGCATAGTTTTTAGTAATTTTATATAGTGTTAAGCTACATTTACTCTTTTACTATTTAGCCTACTTTCAAAAACTCACTTCATTCTTGCATGCCTTGTAAATTTGGCGTCATAAGTGTTTAATTCAGTACACTTTTTTGGCATTCTTCAAATTTCGTAACGAATTTCAACTGTGTTGAAGTAATAATGAGTTCTATGTGTATTAACAAAACACAAAATTCGGTATTGGCATTTTTTTCCAACCTAGCACTATTTTTTTACGTTTCTGATACCTAGTTTACATATCAACGTATTTCATGGATACCGTACTTAGAAGTTTAGAATCCCGATTCTGTACAGAATGCATACTTCACGCATGTTTAGCATATTTTGGCCATTTTTTTCATTTTTTTTGTAGAAACAATAACATAATATAGGAATATTTTGTGTAACCTGTAGCTACCTGCATTTGTATTGCGGTTATTTCCGCTGCATGTTAATACCTTGGTTTTACCTGCTTCGTAAGTGGGTTAAAACAAATATTTTTACAATCTGGTTTATCCAAATGGCGTAAAAGTGTTATTGGTAGCTATGTAGGTGCTTGGCAAAAGGAATAAGATATTTTATTCAACCTTTCATATGTAAGTGGCTTATAAACAGTCAAAAAATGCCCAAAGAAAAAGCTTACCTGGGTTTCTCATGGATTAAAGATAATCCAGAACTGATTAAATTTGTTAAAAAAAATGTGTTTTTGCATTTTGTTAAAAATAGCCATTTTTTACTTCCTGGCCGATTGCTGTCAAATTTTGTATGCATATTAGGAATATCATGTAGATGGTTAAACGCTAATTCAAATTTGGCTAATCATCCCCACTACTATTGGGATGACATCATTTCCAAAATTTAAAAGTTTTTAAAATTTTATAAAATAAGATACTGCTGCACTTATGGTGTGTGAATCTGTATAGAATTTTCACCCTAGACATCCAGAATTTTGAAAAAAAATGCGAATCCGTATAACAATATTTTGCAATTTAACTTTGAAACTGCAAAACCGCATGCTCTGAAATCTCGTTAATGTTTTACCGTAACCATGGTAAATCGTTACGCAAAATTTATTCGTTTATCCCCTCCCAAAAAATGTTGCCGAATAAATCCTCTCTGAAATATGCAAAATATTATGGCTGTATACTTGTGGTTTATCAACGCTCTCATAGTTTTTCGAATTACCTAGACAGGTGACTCAAAAAATTAACGAAAGAGTCAATTTTTTTTATTGATCAAATCAGGAAATGCACAACCGACTGGTTTGAAATCTTGCAGACGTTTTAAACTTCTTGTAAGCATGATACATTTTTAATCAAAATATATCTGTTTATCCCCTCAAAAAATTGATTACGTCATCACAAAATTTTGTTAAGGGAGAACGTATTTGAAACGTACGCACAGCATGTTCTTTTACATTTACTTTAACGTTACTTACATATCTTTATTTTAATTTGTAAGGGTTTTTATAAAAAAATAAAATTCGCATAATCAAATTTTATAGTTTTTCGAAAAAGCTGGATTTGTTTTATTCTACTTCAGGGGCGAGGAAAGTTCTGTCGAAGTAACCTTCGACCAATTTTTTAAATATCAATCGCAATGAAAGTAATACGTTTTTCACTTAAAATAGTATTAAGTGTTAAAAATTGTGCATATTTTGTAAACTGTATGCATATTTTAGTCTTTTTGGGTGCACATTTGCATATTTCAATGTGCATATATATCCGGGCTCTACATAATAACGGTGTGGCATTTTAAACATTGATATTTAACTATATTATGCGAGAATTTTACATTCTAAAACATGAGTATTAATCTCTGTAATTAACCAGAAATAAATCAATCAAAATAGCAGACAATTGTACAACATAAGGACCGGATGGGAAAGATTAATGGGGTAGATAACTCTCTAGGCTGTGATAACAGTATACTAAAATGTGTGTACCACAGTACTTGAGCAAAATGTTGCATAAGTTTTGTAACATGTAGGTGATAATACACACATATTTTTGCAAGGTTATGCCCGTTACTATAAATATTAATCAACACTGATAAGGAAGTGTCACAACATTTTAACCATTGTAGTTTTTGGCAGCTTAGTGTACTTGATTTGTACATTTCCTTCTTCATCACAGAAGACTAGTGTGTAAAATAAATGTAACTAATGAACTAGAAACGAAAAAATGTGCTAAAAAATGCGCATTACGCATAAGATTAGTATTGTTTATACACGTTGCATCTTTATTAAACTGAGTGACATAGAAGAAAGAAAACTAAACGAGGTGGCAAAAATTTCTCAATGGAAGTCTCAGCCTCCCCTAGCTTCCCCCTAGCTAGCCCTCTCTAGGGGTCATAAAACGTCGAGAAAATATTAAAATCGCCCAATGGACTCGATTGCTGTTGTCACGACTGAGGTGAGCGAAAGTGGCCTCTCAGCAATAATAACGACTTCAGTGTTTATGTATATACATCGGAAGAATATTACGTAGAAATTAGTTCGATCTGAATGAGTTTGTCGCCTCAAAACAGAAGATTAAAATTATTAATTAAACCACATTTGAACAAAATGTTCTGAATATTTATTATTATACTCTTATTTAATCATTATTAAATGTAGTATTCTCACATTTTCGAGAAAAGAGGGTGACCCGTTTTAATTTGATCAATAAAAAATGACAGAGTGATAAATGTTATTAAATTTATTTAAACTAGAAAAAAAAAAAGATATGCCGCCTGCTAGTTTCTACCTATCGATTCTGGGTCTGTGAAGCAGAAACTCTACCACTCACCTATCTACTGGTTAGTACTATAGGGATCATGAGATGTCGAGGAAACGTAAAATTAAAGAGAACGAAAAAAAATTAAAGATATGTAGTTTTGCTATCGGGAATGCTTTGAAGTATTTAACCAGTTGATAGAGCAAAGGACAAGCATATTGTAATGTCTGTTATTGACCGAAAACATGGCTGAAGTTTTTCGGAAATATCGAGATATTACATCGTTTTTGCAAGTACCTGACTATAAGTAGAATATTATATACTGTGTTGTAATGTATTTGGGACTACATTATGGAGAGAATTTGTTTGTTTCCTTTATCTATTTTGAAATTATCACTTTGTGTTAAGAATTATTTTGAAAATAATTTTGGTTGAATTGTCAATATCCTGCAGCAGTTTAATGTCGTTTTTGTTTTAAATATTTACCTGTCTAAAAAAGTAAACGTTTGTTGATTTTTCATGGTTTTTCGTAATAGTTACACTGTGCTATCAAATTTTGGAATTATGAAAGTACTTAAAGATGTTACTAGAGACAATGCAAGGTCATGAAAAATACGCCAAAATCATGCGATTATATAGTTGCAATATACAGATATGTAAAATAAATGTTGCGAACGAACACCCCAAGATAACCGAGCAAAAATCTTCTATGAATATTTTTATTTATATACATTATACACTGAGCGGCAAAAAAAACAGCCACCCTGAAGTTTTTCGCTAAACCACTTTAAAAATGATATTTTAACTAGTGATTGTATTTGTTTGTGTCTTTTTTTTTTAAGGTAATTTTTACATTCTTTTTCCACAGTGAATGGTTTTCTAAATAAAATAAAAATCACTATTCAAAAGAATAATTTTTAAAGCGATTTTGCAAAATATTTCAGGGTGGCCGGTTTTTCTGCCGGTCAGTTTGTATTTGATTTTAGCTTACACACAGTACTTGTAAGAAGTAATTACAAAAATCGACTACATACTCAAATCTTTAGAATACACAGGAATAATTTCATGAAAAATATTGTCGTTTTTTCTGCTATTGAAAAATGAAGATTTATAAATAAACTCAATTGCTATTGCATTTTTAATCTAATAACATTTCTTATCCGAAATGAGGAAAAACATGAATGTTGAAAGTTATATCTAGAGGTTGATTAACCAATTTTCTCTTACTTAAATCTTATTTTTATGCAAAAATATGTTGATGTCTAGCGCTTATGATGGGACGGAGATCGGTGACACGGCTACGGTGTCGGTCAAGAGTCAAGAGTTTCGCTGATAGCGTGGGGTGGCTTTTAAAGTCAGAGATACGAATCCCCGGGTGGTCTCGTGAGCGTTCAGCTTGTACTTATTGTATTAAAGATTATGTACCTAAGGTTAGGTATTGTTTCCAAGCTATAACTTGTATATCTATTATTAAAAGAAGAATGTTCTTAATAAAAAAAAACACAGTTAAAATGTCAACTGACATATTTTAGGCCACAACTAGGAATAGTTTATTTAGTAAGTGAAATATGTTTTTTTTTCCTATGGTATTTGTAAATTGGCGGAATTTATTGTAGATTCAGAACTTTCTCTCCGATGCTAAAAAGAAAATATGCTCAGATAAAACTACATGTCATAAATATTTACACGAAAATTTTTCATATACGTGACATGAGTAATTGGTTTTGTTTGTATCACATGCGGGTGAAAAAATTTAAATCGAAATGAAAAATGATGATTATTGTGACTTTCAGATTTCTAATGCTACGAGGGGCTATATCAAGATGACGAGAAGTGGTTACACGTGTGTTAGACATTTATTTTGTTGGCTGAATGTATTACTGTGGGTAAGATTTTTTATACCTATTTGTTTCATTTAAGCACTGTTTTACGCATCGTGCAACAGACGGATAAATGAGAAGAAATATTTCATATCTTTTAGCTGTAATGATTGCAAATTTTAGACAAACCATTTCACCACATTTTATGGATATTTTCATTAATGACATTACTTTCTTACCACAATAGTGTGAACCAGCACTAGTTTCTAATCTCACGCGGTTCTATCAAAGGATCATCGTCACGCAATCATTCTGTAACAATATTTTTCACTTCATTATTCACATTGGGCAACTTGTAATTACTATTTTAAACACTTGTAACTGATTGCTCGTTCTTTATTTAGCTAATGTTTTCATGGTCTACGTTGTTAATATGTAATCTGTTTCGAAAGCACTTCATTAAAAACATATTTATTTTTCAGATTACAGGTTGTGGAGTTTTGGGAGTCGGAATATGGTTAAGAATAGCGTATGAAGGTTACGCTTCTTTGTTACCCCAATATGCGTTACTCAGTGCCGACTCTTTAGCAATAGTCGTTGGAACGATCACATTTATTTTGGCATTTTTGGCGTGTTGTGGCTCGTGGTTTCAAAGTAGATGCATGCTTGTTACAGTAAGTATGTATAGGTTTTTCTCAGATAGAATTTACTGTTTTGTAGTATTTCAGTTTAGTTGTCTTCATGTTTATAGCTGAATTTCTTGTTGGATCTTTGGCATTTGTATTTAGGGTTTCCTTGGGGCATACATTTCGACAAGAACTGCAAAATGGTCTTTGGCATCATTATAATGTTACGGCCAGGGGACCAAACAGTTTAGTTACTATTTGGGACAATCTTCAGTCGGAAGTAAGTTATTGTGAACAAGCGTCACTCTGATATAACTGAAAACAGTTTTGATATAAAGTACACACACACAAAATCAAACGGATTTATTGAAGGCGTATTGAAGCGCACACGATAAAACAGTGTTACGGCAACTGTACCTATAGTCTATAATAACGTTAGAAAAAAATTGGTCAGGATTTCCGTCGCCAAATCTTTTTACTAGTACTAGAATCAGTGGTAGCCATTCAAACTTACGTGTTTGCTCTTCCTCTACTAATATGTAGTAGATAGTGTTGTAAAATTGTAAATTATAATTTGGTCAACACTCCATATATGAAGTTGTGTATATAAGTATATGTGTATAATTTTAGTTTAAATGCTGTGGAGTTAATAATTACGAAGACTGGTTTTTAATAGACGCTTGGCCCAATAAAAACTGGGTTCCTGATACATGTTGTATACCCTCAAAACTGGAAGAAGACTGTGGTCAGTCTGGAAATGCTGACATATTTTATTCAACTGGTTGTTATCATCAAATTCACATGTGGTTTGTGCAAAGACTTCATATTGTAGGAGTAGTTGGTCTAGTTGTTGCATTTATACAAGTATGTTTATTGGATTGTATGTATTAAAAACTAAATTTTATTTTTTTAGCTATTTGGACTGATCTCATCAATGCTTTTGTTTTGTACTGTGAGACACAAAAGAACATCTCGAACGTATAAATCATATCAGACTCATGCATAGTTTTGAAGTGTTATAATATTCATCAAGAATTTACCCCGTCTAACTGACTTTATACACAGAATCTGTATAATTTAGATCTGAATATTTGTCACAATTAAATGTGACTTTGTAGATGTTGTTATACTCGAAACGAATATTTAGAAATTTTGATTCCACTACTGTAAAGCAGGTCTCAAAAACTTCTTGACAACATCTACATACATCTATGACGAAGTTCTAAGTAGCATTGGTGTTTTTCAATTTGCTTGATTGTTTTATTACTTCACTGTTTCTCGCGTAGCGAGAAAAAGAAGGCTAAATCCATTGATACTACTTATGCATGTTAAGATTTTAACAAAAACATTTTGTGTTCAAATATCATCAACGAATATTCGAGGTAAATATTTTTAAACTTATAGTAAGTACCGAAATTGTAAAGAAGAATAACTTAAACCAAATTACAGTATTACTTTATAGATATTAATGTTTAGGTAATTATTATTGTTGTTTATTGATTTTTAATACTAGCTGTTTGTCTATATTTTTAATTGTTGTCAATGTTAAGCCGTCTCGCCATTTAAATGTAAAAGGTAAAAGTTAAAAATTGCGCTGATCACAAAAATCACTCCTTAAGCACAATGTTTAGGCCAATATGTAATTATAAAAAGTGTTGTCTTTAAGATTTTTTCATAGGGTTGTTGGTAAGCTGTTAATGGGTAGTTCAGAGATGGCCCAAATATGGCACCCAATTGGAGCCCATGTTTAAGCAATTATATTAGTATATAGTCTACATATTGACTGATATGCATAAAGTTTAGTACATATTTTATACTGAAATTTCGAAGTTACTTAGCGTTCATATGAATAAAAATAAGGTTTAACTTACAAGTAGATACTTTATGTTAACTAGTCAAAAAATTTTAAAAAATTTAATTTACTTAATTTTCTAGTAAATGGTTAGTCTTTTATGCATAAAAAAAGTATTTACTTGAAATCATAAGTAAGAACTCGCAATTTTTCAAGCTGGTTTTTAGTAAACTTACGTAATTTAACCGAGCGAATTAAATCAAATTAAATTTTCTTCATAGGAGGCTCAGGTTATTGCCCTTTGGCTGATAACATCATGTAGAGATCCAAAAAACCCCGTGTAAAAATATATATTTTAAGAAAATACACAAGAGAAGTCATCATCGAAAGAAGTTTTGAACAATTAAAAAACGCTTTCCAATTTTACTGAATGATATAAGAGTTCATTTGGACAGGATGCCAAACATAACAATTTCATGCTTTTTCTTTTGCATGTTCCCAAATTTCTAAATGATAAAAATAACTTTTTTGGCATTTTACCCGAAGTAGATAAAGAAATTGTCGGAAACAATGACAACGATAATAAAATTTCAGGCATAGAACGTAGGGATGAATTGTCTCGAATTTTATTGGCACTACAAATACATCTCAAAATGAAGAATTAAAAACTTTTTTATCTGATTGTGTACATCACAGGAAATAAACATAATACTTACTTATATCTTATATATGTACCTAATTTTACGCATAACCTTGATTTATTCTGTTGTTTTGGAAACATTCTTTTTGAGCAAGCAATTTGCAAGTTAGCTCTTGCCGAATGTTTCTGATCGTTAAAATTTAACTATAATTTACAGAAAAATGTGATTTTGGTATATATTATCTAGAATATTCAATAACAGTTTGGTCTAAATCGCCATAAGGTGTTAAAGTAATGACAAAAAGTCTTAAAAATTAGTAACGTAACTGGAACTGAGGACAAAAGGGAGTGTACGAACAGTATCTAATAAGGTTCTAACGTTTTTCACAAACAATGTATGATCATCAGACACATTCTTAATATATTAATATATGGTCGTGTTGAAGTGTCTTAAGTTGTGATTGTTACACTAAAGTTACTAATGAATGTTTCATTTGTATTTTGCTGTGGTTTGGAAAACACCTAATTAAAACATTTAGTGGAATGCAGGTATGACAGGTACCTAATATAGATTAGTTTTGCATAAAAAAATCCAAATTTGATAGGCACTTATTATTGCTTTTGCTGTGATTGATATACGTTTTACTGTTCAACGAATACCAAAATATTACAATATAATTCAATACTGAACAAAAGTAAATGTCAGTTCTTAAATTTGAAATTAAATTTATGTGTAGATCGCATTCTACTTGTGGCTTTAACTAAGGTTACTCTGAACATTTTACGGATAAAATATAGTTTGCTAATTTTATTCTGTTGAGATTGGCCATCAAATTAGCTGAGGTTCTATTGTGTATAAAGTAATAAATTAGAACTAGCGAATCTTTATCTTTTCTTAGCATTGTTTTATTTGTAGGTAGGTACTGAATTAAAACATTTATTACTGTTGTCAAAGTTGTTATATTAAATATATATTTTTGTATTATTTTTTGATGATTTGTTTCATTATTATCTACTTTTCAAGGTTAAACTTTAATAAGTCAATGATTGGGAGCAGTATGGCTGAGTTGAGTGGGAGTATGCTTTCCAAATGGAAGGCAGGGGTACGAATCCCGGCGTTTCAACTTCTTTTTCCCTTCAAATCAGAAACAGTACATCCCATTTTCACATTGTGAGAATGCAGTAATACATAACTGTTATTATTACACTGTGGTTATCCATGTGTTTTACAACGCAATGCAATGGTTGTAATAAACAAAACTAAAGTATATATGATTTATCTAATGAATGCAAAAAAAAGTCTCTCCAGGAATCTCTAAAACAATAACATATACTGTATCTTTTGCTTATCGGCGGATTCGTCTCTAAACAGAAGAAACAAGCATCAGTGACGAAACGTGGGTTAAGGTAACATTTTAAAGAAACATAAATAAAATACCGTTGACCAAAACAAAGGAATATTGTAGCCTAAGTAAAGTGTGATACATAGAGAGCGGAAAATATGCAGCAAAATTTAGGGAAATATGATCATATGATATGCACCAAATTTATGGAAATATGCAGTAACTTTCTTAATATATGCAGAGATATGCAGTTGCATATGCTCCAAAAATTAAAAAAAAGCTAAATAAGCGAACTAAATTGATTTACAAATTACAAAAACAGGCTTCCCGACCTTACGTTTTATTACAAAAAATACATAAATCACATTTTTAAAGATAATATTCTTATACTAAAAAATAAATATAAACAGAACAAATCAAAAGATAGTAGTAATCGACTATTTAATTACTATTTTGGTAACAATTTATTTTTAAATATTTTTCGAAATCTTCTAACAAAAAGTAGTTCTAAAGTATGTATTTGTAAATAGAAAAACTGCGTACCTACTACGTCAACAGATGTAAAAATACTTACCGGTTTAGAGCAGGCGCGACAAAACACAGTTCCTTCTCGAAGAAAAAGTTCAGGAAAAAGTTTAATTCATAAATTAATTTGAGTTATATTCGACAATTTGACACACCTGTATCGCTTTAAATGCTTTGACCACCACAAAATGTACTATTAATACACTGAACTAACGAACAAAAATATTAGGAATGAACGTATTTCCAAAAATAATTAGGGCGCGAATTTACCTGGAAGGATGGTTTAACACCCAGTGGTTTCTCCAAACTACCATAAAACCCAAACTTTTCCTAGTTATTTGAAGTTCAGTCCATTGTGTCGAAGTTGACGATTGGGACAATGAAGTCAATCCCTAGCCATAAATAAGAACGTGGTCGGTTTCTTTGCAAGGCCGTATTTTGTTATTTAACTCATATTGTCCGTCGTGGGGTAATAACGAGGTGATAATGTTTATTATCTTGTCATAAAACCACTTTAAACTGGGACTACAATAAATGCCGATGGAATGACATTTTTTTTTATAAATCAGCACAAAAATTGATAAAAATGCAAAATATGCACCCGTTACGTGAAATATGCAGCAGAATAATAATATAATAATAATAATGATATATTTGCCCAACAGAATAATATCCAATTATAGGACAATTAATCGTATCCAAAATAAATAAATTAAATGACATGTAAACATAACGATAAGTAAACTAAACTTAAAATTAACTTAAAAAATAAAAAAAAATAAAAAAGCAGAAGGCAAATATATGCAAATATGCAATTTTTTTATAGCTGTATTCATTTTTAATTAGCATGATTCGTTCACATATTAAATATCAAGACTTATATGCAAAAAATAACGGATATGCAAATTTCATAAAATCCGCTCTCTAGCTGATACATCACTGAATGTGGAACAAAAATGTGGTCTAAGGTTAATTACACACTTCCCTCGCCCTTGAAATACAGTCGAACAAATACAGAGTTTAGCTGTGTCTAGATAATGCCAACGTGGTTGGAGAAACGCGTCGACAAATATTTTGTGTGTTTTCGGTGTTGTGGAAATAAACGTTATATTAAATGCAACGTGGTTGAAAAATTATAAAATTTAATTTTGTGAAGTTATTTTTACTTCCTGAGTGTAAGTAAAGAAAGTATTGTCATTGAATCCATCCGGGGTTTTCTCGACGTTCCACGACCCATCAAGTATGAAAAATTAGGTCTCCTGGTTCAGTCTGTCTGCCGTCTGCCCAGATATGTATTAGGCAGATAATCTCCAAAACTACCGGACTGATTGTTGTCAAATTTTATGTGTATGTTAGGAATATCGAGTAGATGGGAAAACGCTAGCCAGAATTTGCCCAATCTCCCTATTCGGCCAAAATTTAGACATGCTTACAAAAATTGAAAACCCCGCGAAAAATTGAAAAGGTGGCCATGAACTGTGATCGACAACAAGATGAGACCCTCCGTTGTGTTTTGAAATGGCGGAATGTGTTTTGATGCAAGGTGGTGAACCGCAAAGGTGGAAGATGACCTTGAATTAACGACACAAAATTTTGTGTTTTTTCTTTTTTGGGGCTGTATTTTCCAGTTACAAGAAATCTCGTTCTTTTCAAATTCAAAATTACAAATTTCGATCACATAAACACAGCTATATATTTATTTTCCTAGGCAACATGTTCTCAGGTAACCTCAGAGAACTTGTTTGATCTACAGACCAGAGCGCACTCATGCCGATGTCGACTCTATGCGATCTATCTATAAGCCGACTTTCGTTAGAGCTGATCTGATACATATCCACTACGAAGAACTAACCCGTTCCGACCATCTTTACAATTCAAATTATATTATCAAATTGTAAAACGCTCACAAAAAATTTGTTGCCAACAATGAAATGACTCAATCTTCAAGTTTTACAATAGTAGATGTAATTTCAATTTGATTTCCTCCGTTTATGGTTTATGAATCCGTGTTGAGTTTTTATCTTAGATGTCATGTTAAATCGTTAGTCAAGAATTATCCGTCGATGCTCCTTAGGAGTTGATGATGTCATCTTACAGTTTTGTCGAATAAATGTTATTTAAATGTAAAAAAGTAGCATAGTCCTGAAGTTGTGGTTTATAAATACATTATTGAGATTATTCGGCTTTTCGATTTCTCGATTTTTCAACTTTAGATGTTTCAATTTTCCAGTATTTCAATTTGGACATTTTCAATTTTTCTATTCTTCAAATTTTCGGTTTCTCCATTTTTTTTTATTTTGCGATTTTTAATTTTCCGATGTTTCAATGATACAATTTCTCGAATTTTATCCTCTTAAATTTTACGATTTCTAAATATTTCGATTTTTCAATTTTTGAATTTTTCAAATTTTGACGTTTCAAAATTTTCAGTTTACCGATTTCTGAAGTAATTTTTTTTAATTTTCCCATTGCTTCTCAAAATTTCGATTTTACACATCTTCAATTCGTCAATTTTTCGATTTTTCAGGTTTTTGATGTTTCAATTTTTCGATTTCTCAGGTTTTTAATTTTTCAATTTTTAAAATTCTAGATTTTTGATTTCTCGAGTTTTCAGTTCTTCTACGTATACAGCGTGTTATTGAAAGGTACGTATAAAATAAAATCGGCAATTGGTCTCGAAGTATGGGTGCTAAAAGTAAAAAAAGTTCAGGTAAAAGTGTTCTCGTTTTATAGATAGAAATTATTAAAATTTATGTCCAAATTGGTTGTACGCCTCTGATAAAAAGATCATCTTTCGTTTCTCTAGCAACATTTAGTCTTGACAAAAGTTTTATTGTTACAGTTGCTAGGATTTACGAAAATAAATTAATTTTACCTATTTATCCCTCAGTAGCGTTTAATAAGGTTGGATAAGGGTTAATTTTCCCCCTATAATTTTGATAACACAAAATAAGTCAGACTTTTTCGACTTCGCTAACAAGTGTCATTTTTGTTGTACGTACCTTTCAATAACACCCTGTATGTCAATTTTTTAATTTTTGGGATTTTTAAAATTCTCGATTTTCCATCATTTTTTTAACTTTTCGATTTTCCATCTTTTTCTTAACTTTTCGATTATCCAATTTTTCGATGTTTCGATTTTTAATTTTAGATTTCCCATTTTTTATTTTTTTGATTTTTTCATGTTGAATTATTTATTATTGCGAAAAGTAACAGTAAAAAATAACTACCAAAATTATGACTAAAAATATACAAAAATTAATAGAAAATAGAACACAATGTCGCTAAAACATAAAAATAACTGTACTTTCCCAAAAAAAATCTATTGCATGATTACGGTTTCACTAGCATTGCTAATTTAGGACGTTTTGTTAGTATCAAACACAAGTTAAACAAAAAAATAGTTGAATGTCAAAATCGAATGAAACATTACAGAATTTAAATATTGCATAATTCAACGAGACGATAAATTTTGGGCATATAATATGGTAGAGCCCCTAGAAAAATTTTATTTATATGCCTTACTTCCGGAGATAGTAGATTCTCGTTATAAAAGAAGTCAACACATCAGACAAATTCTAAAAAAAATTGTAAATTTAAAAATTTTTATTTGATTTCGCAGGAATAAATAGTTATAGTGGAATAGGTCTACTAGAGATACCATGTAAAAAAACGCCCCTATAATAATACTTTACCTCATAGGTGGTGCGGAAAAGACAATCAAAATATTAAATTTAAATAAATGTGATTGTTCAGGTAAATAACTGGTTAGTCAAGTGATGAGAATCTAAATCTTGTCAGTTTTTTGTATTGATTCATATATAAAATGACAGATTAATAAAAAATGTTTGAATAATTTTTGAAAGAAAATATTTTAGTAGAATGTATAAAATTATAAAAATTTGCATCCTTTTAAATCAAATTATGTCAGCAATGAAAGAAGTCGACTTGTAAAAAAGTTTCTTACAACTAGGTTCGTAGAGTTTTATGACCTGAACTGATTACCTGAAAGGGTCCGTCGGCAAAGCTCCCTGCTGTGTCAAACTGAACCATTGATTGAAATGGATCCTTTTTAAATAGGATTGCCTAGTTTTACGTTATTTTTATTATTCAATATATTTTTTTAAAAGCAAATATTATGATAAATATAAATTAAAAAAAAAATGACCGGTTCTTCCCCATAGAGCTCAATGTTGTCTTTGCACTGATATAAAAGTTGAAGCGAAACATGATCTCTCCTCGTCTCAAAATGCAATTTCCTTCGAAGAAAGAACGATTAATTATAAACACTAAAAAATGACTTATTTTAAAAAATATTGTGAATCCCCAGAGATTTAGACATCATCTATCAAATGAAATGTCGATCTTTTTTTCAAAGTTAAAATTACGCTCGTGCAATGAACTTCTATTTTACTCGTTTTTCGGTCTGCTACTGGGCACCCTTAATTTAATCGCGTAAATGAATAGTTCTTATGGTGTTATACAGGTTGTTACGGAAATACACGGAAAGAAAAAAATCTGGCGAATCTGATGATCGTTAAAAGTTAAATAAACGTTTGTTTCGTTAGCAAACTCGACAAGAAAAATTCAACTCTTAACCAGACATTCACGCCACCACTGTTAAACAGTAATTATCTAACAATTTAACCTCACAATAATTTTAACGGCTATTTTTGAAACCTTAGCAACTAAAGAGTAGTGATGTACAACGATTGCTATTATTAATTTATTCTACAAATCTTGAAAACAAACAAGAAGTGACAACCAATGACAACTAAATATTTGTCAGTGCAAAATTGACAAGTAAGATTTGAAAATTGTTTTTTAATAAACCAGATAAACAAAATACAACCTACGTGGAGTGTCAAAATTACAACAAATGCTGAAAATGTCGGCCCTCATTTCCTATACATGCCTCAGCACGCCGAATTAAACTTTGTTGCGTCCTGCTTATCATATCAGTACTCGCCCTAATTTCAGCAGCAGCGTTCTGTATTCTGTTTATAAGTTTCTCGACAGTATTAAGTGGAGTTCGGTACACTAACTGTTTCATGTGATCCCATAGAAAGAAATCACAGAACCGGTCCATTTCTTCCGATCCATTTTTCAGGAAAGTCTTGGTCAAACCAATCTCTCAGCTCTTTTACGTAATGAGCAGGCGCCTCATCATGGAGATACCACATATCTTTTCTTGTTGGCAGCGGTACTTCCTCCAAAATGTTTGCCAAATTATTGGTCAAAAAATCCAAATAAGCATGAGTTCAGGTTTTAAGTGTTGAACTCGTTGTATGTGGTATGGAAACAGACCTTGCTCATTTAGTGTTCTCCAAACCACAAATCGTGAAACTCCAATTCGATAGGACAATTTTCTAACACTTATCCCTTTTTTTCTTCAACAACATTAAAAATTTCTTCCTCGGCGTCGAGGACACGTTCAGTTCTTTCACGACCACGATCGTCGCAACAAGGTTGAAATTTGCCGTTTTCTCGTAATCACTGTGCAACGGTAGCAAAGGTTTTATGGTTGGGCAACCTATGTTTTTGAGAAAACTAAAATGTTCTACGATTTTCATGCGACAGAAAAGAGACGACCAACAATACCTGGTAACATTGCATAATTCAATTTAGTCATTCAAAAACTACGCCAACAGGCGGTCAGTTATGTTAATTAATTTTTTAATTTGTTATTTTTTATTTTTTATTTTTTAAGTTTATGCTTCAAGGATTATACAAATATTGCATGTTTTAACCTCGGTTTTAAATGCTTATTAGTATCTTAGGGTTTAGGATTTTCATAAAAGTAGAGAGTGTAGTTGTTAGCTTTACTCACAATTTTTCTGGAATGTCTTGGCATGTGTAGAGTTAGTTGTAAACCATGTAAATAGGTATTGCCCGTTTATAAATTAAAAACCACTCGTCGAGTGTGAAAATTAATTATACTTGCTTGGTACTTGTAAACATTAAGCTTTTGTTGCAAACTAAAACATTTCAATCCGATTCTGCCCCCTACATATTGCATTTGGTAAACACTTGGCACAGAAATGCACAATTTAGGTTAGAAATTGTTAATGGTTTTTTAAAAAGAGACCGGGGAGTATATACTTTCGTACTATTATTGTTAAGACGTAAATGGCTTTTTAACATTATTAAAAAAATGCAGGATGTTCCTTAAGCAAAATCCTAAAAATGGGATTATGGTAACATATTTTTGTATTTTGAACTGATAATTTTGTTGTCTGCAATGTTAAATATAATTAAAAAGGTGGAAGAAAAGCAAAGATAACAGGGAGATTTTACCGGAATCACAAGATGTGCAGTTAAAATGCATAAAATACTTGAAAAATCTAATGCAACATAAGGCAGAAGGTCGTAATATTTTGTCTACGCATATTAATGAACTGATCGAAACGATAAACTAATTATTGGGTGAGCCAGTTGCTAAAGGCCGAAGACTGATAAACGATAAATGTTCATGGCGGAAACGAAACTGGATTTGTTAAAGGACGGACTTTCGATATTTACGTATGGTAACTTGTAGTCTTTTATTCAAATTAACCAAAGTGATTAAGCTAGTTTTTGTCTGTAACAGGTAGTAGGAGCATATTTTATTTGTTTTTTTTTATTATCTTCAATCGATGTTAATTATTTCGTCAATAACGTTAATTCATTGTAAAGAAATACCGTAAATTATCATTTGAAACATTGATTCGGTACTTTATTTACAAACAATTTTGGTATGCTATACAGTTTTTATTTTTAAAGATGGTGGTTATGTTAAATTCTATTTATAATCTTCAGCTTTTAAAGTCAATATTACGCTTTACTCCTGATAAATTTATTAACAATCTATGGATAACGTTCACTCTTAGATATAGCAATTTCATGTTCAAACTACATTTTGTATACCTATAATTTAAAAAACGAAATTGTCTTTAACGCTTCTGACGTAACAAGAGATATTATACAGAAAACGTTTAATATTTTAAGTTCACTAAAAATATGTTTGTAGGTTCTCCTAGTCCATACATGGTTCAAACCATCTCTGTTATCGACTCTTTTGCACTCCTTTTAAGACTAAAAATTGTATAATGATCTTCTGTGTAATATTATGTAAAAAAACTATTTTGTTATTTATATCAGAGAAACCACTTTTTTCTAATAATGAATTAACCATTCTGTAGTCAAAAATGTTATAACTACTAACCAGATTTACATTTTATTAAGATTCGTATTTTATGTCGTCTAGAACACATTTTACTTAATTGTTAATTCTTAACATCTAATAAGATAAAGTATACCACTTTGCAGTTTAAAGAAAAATATATTAAATTTCACATGTATACACAAAGATAGCCATATGCCAGGCTAAATTATACTGTCTAGCGTGTTCTTTAGAGTACAATAATTTCTTTTAAAATTTGCAGTAAAGTTTACTCGTATATAAACTAAATCTCTCCTAATTTCTGTTCTCCTAATATTAAATTGCATTAAAGTAGTTATTTATTGTTCGCTTCACCGATATTTGTTTAAACAAAAATTCTGTTGCTCCACACGAAAAATACACCATGGCAAAAAAGTAGTTTGCATAAAATTATAAATATTTTAGTACCGGTTTCAACAAGAATTTTAGTAACATTTCAATAATTACGTTTTTGTCACAAATATTGATTAGAATGATAGTAATTTAAAATAACGTACCTAAATAGTACATAATTATTTGAGTGGAGCAAAAATTTTTATCTGGTGACATAAATTACGTAAGGACAATGTCCTGCATTTTTCATTTTAAAATTTTATTCTCAGTACTATACCAACAAACACGGTTGAGGTAATGTCTGGATCGGTATATAACAAAGTTTTCAAAAAATTATGTGTATGTGAAACATGGTAAAAAATAAGAATCGGTTTATATATCAATTATAGCCAAACAAATAATTCTTGTGACCATTTTCGTAATATATAATATATGGCATAAAAGTGTATATGAGTGCGCTTGCGTGACGTATTATCGACATTTGAAATGAGCGCCTGTGTACACTTTTCAGTCTATAGAGAAATTCACTACCATGTCAAGTTCATTTTACCGATTCAATGTTTTTATTTACTTTTAAAGATCCTCACTCAAAACCTCTGTGTTTCAATTTTGCATTGGTCAGCTTATAGGAATTTCATAACACTAATGTTTTTCAAGTCGAGTGTAACGAAGAACGTGTCGCGGTGCAGTAATGTAATTGTACAATTAAAAATCTCACCCATTTAAAATATAATGGTTTTGTGTTATATCATTTTTGGGTTTTTAATTTTTGTTCTATTTATTTATTCGTTTCTTGAAATTCATTATTTTTTTCGTGCCTCATTGTGTGTGATTCTTGCTAGAATATCTAAGAAAAAAACTCATCTGTTAAGTGAAACTGTTATTAATGGTAAGTCGATAATGTTTTTAGGGTTATTTACTAAATTAAAAAATATTCTAACAGCCCAACATACGTTGTAATTAGTTTTATGGTTTCGTTTAAATCTGTGATAGATAAAATTTTCTAATTTAGATAATACAAAATTAGAATGAATTGGATATATACATATCTTGTATGTTCATTAAAAATGAGCAAAGCTGTGTAATAGAGAGCCACGTTTATTTCTGGAAAATAACAGGTTATGTTTGTAAATTACATTTTATTTGAAGTATAAGTGCTGTTTTTCAAATCATTATTGGTAATCATAATAAATTTAATGATTCAGATGGACGTTGCAAATTTAGAATAAATCTTGGAAAGTTATCATAAGTTTGGTAAATTTTTGATCAAAATCCATTTGGTTATCCCCCCCAAAAAATTGATGACGTCGCCTCAAAAAATGTACCAAGTAATTCTTAAATGTGCAAAACTGAATATTTTGAAATCTTGCAGACGTTTTAAAGTTATTGTAAGCATGGTAAATTGTTAATCAAAATATATTTGTTTATTCTGATTTATCATTGCTTTTGTATTTTTTAGATTTGTTTATACAGGTGACTCAAAAAAAAAATGAATGAGTCAGTTTATTTTATTGATTAAATCAGGCACGGCTCACTCCACTTTTCCAGAAAATTTTGGGAATATAATACTATTATTTTTAGTATTACACTGCACCAATCTAAGCTGTTCTTGCAAAAATGTTGCTGACGTCATCACCAAATTTTTTAAAGTAAAAACTTATTTGATACATACGCCTACCACGCTTCTTTACATATCTTTATTTCAACATATATGGGTTCTCATAAAAAATAAAACTCCCAAGATCAAATTTTGTTTTTTCGAAAATGATGGATATGTTTCATTGTACTTTAGTTGCGAGGGAAGTTCTGTTGAAACAACTTTCGGCCAATTTTTTTCTCGTTGGTTATCTGCTTTAAATATACTGACCGGCAAAAAAGCCGGCTACACTGAAATATTTTGCAAAATCGTAGTGTAACACTAATAATAAAAGTACGTAACTGCATTTCCAAATTTTCTGGAAAATTGTGTGAGCCATTCTTAATTTGACTCATATTTTGCACATTTTAAGTAGGATGTAGATAAGGGGATGGGATAAATGGACAAATTTTGATTTACGATCTACTATGCTTATAATAACTTTTAAACTTTACCAAGAGTTTCAAGCCACACTGTAAAATTTTGATTTTTATTCAAAAAATCGGGATGTCGAGGGTTAAAAAATGAAGAGGAAATATTTTATAAAATTTACGCTACCCAAAATGAGGTGACATCTTCAAATTATTGGTGGGAATGATCACAAAAATTTTGGTTAGCTTTTTACTATGTACATGGTATTCCTAACATACATATAAGATTTGACAAAAATCATTTCAGTAGTTTCAAAAATTTTCTGTTTAATAAATATCGAGACAGACAAACAGATGATAGAGAGATAAACATACAGACAGACAGAAACGGGTGACCTATTTTTTCTTTCTCTAGCAGTGATGAAATATCTAGAAAACATAAAAGAAGTTGTTCGCCGGATGAACCTAGTTTATGCTTAGGAAGTAGAAAAAAAGTTCGTAAGCAATATTTTTTATTTTTCAGTGAATATATTCTTGATATGTCTCTGTGAATATCTTATAAAACTGTGAAATCTGAGAACACATTTGCAGTCAGCAGTAAAACCTACATTAGAAACACTATCCTACAATGTGATGACGTTACCTGAAAATACCTGATATTAAATGGGATTTAAATTTTGTAACAAACATGCTGCTACACTTGTGGTTTATGAATCCGTCAGGATTTTTTTACGCTAAACATCTAGATTTTTGGAAAAAAATTGCAATTTTATAAACAATGATTTACAATTATGATTTCACTTTGAGACTGTAAAACAGAATGTTGTGAAATCATGCAAAGCTATTTGAAGCATAGTAAACCATTAATCAAAATTAATCCGTTTATTACCCTCCTAAAAATTTATGCTATCAAAAATGTACAAAACCTTATGAGTCTGTTCTCGTTTATTAGTGCACTCATATTTTTTAGAAATACTTACAAATCTTATTATACTTACTTATTATAATTATTAAACTTTGAAACTTTGCAGACGTTTTAAGGGTATCGTAAGCATGGTAAATTTTTAATTAATTGTATCTGTTTGTTCTTAAAAAAGTCGATGACGTCATCTAAAAATTTTGCCGAATAAATCTAATCGAAAATGTGCAAAATATGATGAATTTTTACTTGTGATTTATCACTGCATTAATATTTTTTAGAATTGTTTATACCTACAGGGCGACTAAAAAAAATTCATGAGTCAATTTATTGATCAGAAACGGCTCACTTTTTTTTCCGAAAATTTGGGAATACAATACTGGTATTATTAGTACTACACTGCACCTATCAAAAATGAGTTACGTGTCCTTGCAAAAATGTCGATGGAGTTATCACATAATTTTGTAAAAGAAAACTCATTCTTTACATTTACTTTAACATTACATACATATCTTTATTTTAACTTATAGTAGTTAATTAAATAAAATTCGCAAAATTAAATTTATAATTTTTCGAAGAAGTTGGATTTTTTTTTTTGTATTTCAAGGGGGAGGGAATTTCTGTCTAAGTAACCTACGACCATTTTTTTAAATTGTATTTCCTATTATGGTGATATGAGATTAAATACTCCGTATACATATTGAAATAACTTTCTTTACACATAGTGTGACTGGCAGCAAAAACGTATAATAACGCTCTGAGCTGCATCTGTTTAAAAAATTGATGCATTTCCCTCTTAGATTTTTGTATTATAACTTCTTACACGAACTAAATATTAAAATTCATGTAGTTTAAGTATTAAATACTACCAAGTTTCAGTATTTCCTTATTTTCATTTGCTCAGTAATAATTAATACCTAATAGCAATAATAACTAATAACCGATTCAATTTTAAAATCGTTTTTCACTATGGTTTAAGAATGTGTGCGAAAATTTTGCATGATGTAATAGTATTTTGTTAAACATATATCGTTCAAAATAAATTTACAGAATATTTTTTTCAGGAATATGTTTAACAAGTGATATAGACTCTATGCTCACACATATGAACAACGCAAGGTTTCTGCGAGAGCTCGATTTTGCTAAGATTGACTTCTACGAAAGAACAGGCCTTTACAAGTGTATAAAACAACATGGGGGAAGTCTGGTGTTAGGTGCCTCAACGATACGATATCGAAGATTTATTAAATTATTCAATCGATATTCGGTAACGACTAAGGTAACATACACATGTGTTAATCTTCACAGGATTAGGTAATTTTCTCTGTTTTAGGTTGTATATTGGGATGAACAAAGCATATATATGGAGCACCGTTTTCTAACCCCAACAGATAATTTTGTTAATGCGATTGTGTTGTGTCGAACTCGATTAACAAATTGTAACGCTGAAGATGTCGTAAATGAACTTTTATTAAATTATTCAGGAGACGATATCGAAAGTAACAAGAAAGAAAAGCCAGAACTCAGTCAAGAATTAGCAAAATGGATTGAAAGTAATGAAATCTCTAGTGCAAGTTTGAGAAGAAATAAGTAAAAATAAATATCTTTTGTTGACATTTTTACCTTTTACATCAAAAATAGATCGTTTTTATTTACGTTAAATTTGTAAGTGTCATCGAACTGTTAATAACGTAGTTAAAATATTTTGACATAGTGGTCAATAAAGTAATTGCTTTTTAGGTATGTCAATACAAGAATATCTACTTTTAAAGAAATACGTATGCATCTACATGTCAATTTAAAAGTGTATTACAACTTATAAGACAAAAGACTAGTTTTTCCTTTTTCCTAGAGATAATACTTGGACGTATATACATATATCTCTATTTTAGATTCACTTCATTGTTATATTAATACTTGCGGTGTTTTGTCAACCTAATATTTACTTTTCATTAGAAAAAGGATTTAATTAGAATAAAATCAATGGTTTTCGTCATTTGATTTACCGACAACTAGTATTATTATAATGTTATGTTAAAATAGTGTTACTATTACTATAAATTTGACGTGTGAATATTTGTTAGAATGTTAAAAACTATTTTGTACGTTTTTTAATGAATGGAAGATATCACATTCTGTTTCGGATAATGTCGTTTTTAAAATGTGAATAGCATGAATTTATATTTGGTAATAAGATGATATGTTTGAGTTTGTTGGAGCTGACAGGCTGTAGAAAAGTGTTTTAAGGTAGTTTGATACAGAAAAATGTGATATTTATATATGTAATTTTATAATGTTAAAAAAAATACAATCCATTTTGTGTGTTACCTACACATGTCTTTGTTGATAAAATCGTTTAAAATGTAATTTACATGTTATGTATTGTAATAATTCATAATGAAGTAGAATATATGTGGTTGTAAAATCTGTGATTTGACTACAAATCGTTAAAGCTTTAATACTGTAGTTTTTCTTAAAGAATTGACAACGGTTTTTTGATTTGTGTCGTTTGCTCAGAATTTCTTCTTAGAAATTGCTTACTCTGCTGTAATAATTGTGATGGGATGTATAATATTTACCTTATTACTGTACATAATTTATTAATAATTATTTATTATTATTACAAATAAATCTATTGACTGAAGCTTTTTGACATTTTCTCTTAGTCACTTATATGTAGTTTGTTGTGTGTCATATTTTAGCCAACTTGAAATACGCGTAATTTGGAAGCAGTTGTGATGTATCTGTTACCGGCTTTCTCAAGATTGTATTATTTTACACATTGCCGATGGATCACCAGGTACTCTACACAATCCCTAGAAATTGTATACATTACCTAGGCAAAGTATATAATAATATAATTAATATTAATAATAATAATAATGTAATGGACAATCATATTCGTAATATTTCATACATTGCCTGGACGCCCCCGGTATTCTACACATTGCCTAGGTATTGTATAGAATACCTGAATTATACAGATTGCCGGTAACATATCTATTGAATAAGAGTAATAATAATAGTAATAACGAGCAAGCGTGGGAATTTATTTCTGTCACTAGTACGTGAGTTCGTACTTTAGTGCAATAGCCAAAGCAAGCAAACAAAGCCTTTTTGTATAATTCAATTTTAGGAATAAAATGGTTTGATATATGTACTTTTCCAAATGGTAGTTCGTTTTTATGGTCTCCAAACTCATTGCAAGCATTAGGAGCTGTTTTGAAAATGTTATTAATCATGCGATAAAACATAAAGCATATCCACTATCACTTAATAAAAAATCATTGCCGTGGTGGCCATTTTCAAGATCTGCACATAAAGATCAGTCGTTGAATATAGTGCTATCATACACACTTCCGGGCCATCTTGCGACTATATTTCTTATTTTTAGGTCAGCATTACATGCAGCCTGAATGTTTATCGAAAAAAAAAACCTAACGATTGCGAAATTACATCGGAAGATGCAATCCTGTCTATTGCACCAGTTACCCTAGGCATTCTCCGAAGCCTATAAAATTTTATTGTCACATTACTTGCTTCTTTGAGAGTAGGCATTTTTATACATATAATGTGGTTTTAGCTGTTTATTTTCTGTCTTATTTGCTGAGTAATAACAATAACACATACTGTAGTTTTGTGCACATTAAAGTTTGTCACCCAGTAATTGCTGGAATCCACCAGTGGCTAGGTATCTCATCGTTGTCAACACTTGGTTTAGGACTGAGACAGATTTTTGGGTGTAAGTAGCGGGTTCTTAAAATGGACGAATGAATATAATTCAATATATTCTTTCTTCCATGGTTTTAACTTAGGTCCAATTAAGTTAGAAGAAAGCTTATTTGGAATTCGTAATCGTCATACAATTCAAAAGGGTTAATCCTGTCTCACAAGGCACAATATCTTCGGGGAATTCTTCCAAAATGCATACTTCTTATAAAATGAAAATGTATGTATATTTTTCCAATAAAAAATCAATTTTGAATTCTTACAGTCTGTTATTTAACTTTATAATTTTTTTTTTATTACAGCCAATTTATCTCTTTTGGGGCTCTTTTTCAAACAACTTGACAATTTAGTTGACATATTTTGAGCAATTAGTTTAATACCAAATGAATTTGGAGTTAAATCGTAATTAACCGGTTGAGAAATTAAATGTGGATTTAATCGCGAAAGCTCATTTCCAAACTTTTAAAAAGTTTGATAGTTTCACATTACTGACCGATTGTGAATAATAGTTATTTATGTTATTCGTGGGTTAGAGGCATTATTACAGCACTGCGAGTGTGAAGATTGCAGATGATGAGGTCAAAATCAAGGCTAATAAACAAATAAATAATAAATAAACCTTTATTGCCCCACAGATCCAATCCAATTACAGGACAATTTGCAATTAAATAAAGAAACAGAATATAATATAATCGAAAAAATATTAAGCAAAATACATTATGACACTGTATACCGTATAATAAACTACATAACATATATTGATCTAAGTGCGCAAATCATTTCACGGAGTGGCGATGTGTTTATATCACACAGGTGAGATATAGAATTGAAATGAGAAGCCATACTAAACATGGGAGATTTAACAAGTATATTTGTATTAGGTTTGCGTAAATAGAACATTAAGGTTTGTCTGGAATTTAATCGAGGAATCAAGATATTGAAGAGAAATAATAAGTGACTGCAATCAATTTTGTTCAGAAATATGGAGTACAAGAATTTTAGACTATAAGGATATTAACAAGAGAGGATGTTTCAAAATTTTTGGAAGAAACGACAAATAAAGATTTCTTGTTAATAAAGGTAAGAAGATTTGGAATGTTTGTTACTGATGTATTGAGTAGATATTCATTTTTAAGGTTGGACATGGAGGGGCTTGCAGAGTAGATGAATTAACTAACTTACAGTTAGAAAACGTGAAAAATGAGGGACATATTTTTCGTATCTTCTTATCAGATACATCTTTATTACTTCCGGAGGAATCGAAGGAATGAATATGGTTCATATAATCCAAAAATATCTTGTCTTGCGTCCTGACCATGCCGATCATGGAAGGTTTTTTGTTAATTGCATAAAGCTTCCAGTTGGTATAAACACATTTAGTGCAATGCCAAAGAAGATTGCCTCTTTTCTCAATTTACCAGAACCTCAAGCATACACGGGGCATTGTTTCCGTAGATCGTCCATTTCACTTTTATCAAATACCGGAGCCGACCTTATGACAGTAAAGCGTGACTACTGTGAAATTGAAGCGGATTTGGATATATTTTGCTGTAGTTTGCAAGAAATCAAATTTAGATTTGGTTAAAATCTCATTTGAATATCTATGTTTTTTTTTGTTTTTTCCTTATGTGTAATAATTTAAACTAGCTGCTTTCACTTCTCTCTTTTTGTTTTACGTTAATCTGTATGCTCCTTGCCTAATAATTGGAGTTTTTATTCTGTTGAGGCATTGTATTAGTAATAATAATAATAACTCAAACAGTACCGAATGAGTCGTGTAATAAAACCTTTATAAAGTAGTTGTAGTTAAACAAACTTAAAAGTGAATCCAACTTTTTTAACTCTTGTAAGACGTGTTACCACTTTAATAATACTTTTGACTTAAAAAAGAGATACAAAGAAAATACGAAAATACTGGGCACAGCATAACAAAAAATTATTGTAATTATTAAAACGACATTCGTGATTCCTTTACAAAACTATAATGTATTAAAAAAACATGCAAAATGGAACATAATAAATCGTTATTTATTTTCCCGTTTTTGTTGTAATGAAATGCATATAATATTGTGAGTCCCTATAGTAGCATACCATTGTAGGCCTTTTCGTACCAACTTTTGCTCTTTTCCAGCAGCAGATTCTGCGTAACTTCGTCTGTTACATATTTTAATGCAGGAGGCGTTAAGGATTCTGAATTGGACATATTCTAATAGAATGATATTTCTTGATCAGATTTTTTAACCTTCAAAACGTCAATCTAATTTTATTCAGGGGCGCTCAGAGGGGGCGTGATTGTTATCCGTAGCATATTTGTACAATGTACACCTCATGAAAATAAACATGCTGTATAATTTTTTTTTGACGATTGAATATAAAATAGTCTGTGTCTGCTGTAATGAATTACACTCCGCCTCAGTTGTATGTACCTACTATTGTCTAAGCGGTCGGATTTATTTATCTGTTTATCGGATGTCATGCTATTTCGACACAAATATTTTCAAGTAAATCCACTAGAAATTGTTATTAACATTACATCTCCATTGACTGATTAGCGATTAGTGGATATCTTAAAGTTTAAACATCCTGTCTTACAGTTCTAATCTTTTTTGGTAATATGTAATGAGTAATGAGAATGAGTAATAAACGAATGAACTTACTCTTTGTCATTTTTTTTTAGTAGTTATTCAAATATTAAGAAACACGTGTGTTATTAAACAAATCTAAAACACAACCTGAAGTTTGAATATTAGTCGGCGCTGATTTGGAGAAATGAGAATTCAGTTGTGATGTATGTATTTAATTTTTACATATCCAGACTTTTTAGATCAAGTTTAACAGTTTCAGCAGTATTTATATCTCACAATAATTCTATAGACTCATAAGAATAATTACTGAAGTACACGCTCAGCAATTATTGCATCGATTAGTTCTTTTTTAATAATTTTGAACAATTGTTTTTAAATTTAACAAAATTAACATTAATCTTATATGCGAATATAGAAAGTGTATTTTTATGTTTGCTCCTCTAATTTTGCTGGTTGAATGATGAGTAATTAAAATCGTCGTGAGTAAAACGCAACATTTTGTTTCTCAGTAGTATATATGTACTAATTTACACGACTAACTTATACAAGCATTTTGTACAAAATAATTCTCACTCTACTGGAATGGCTTTGACAAGTCTCAAATTCTCTCAGCATTGACTAGACTTGACTGACTGTTCCCGGTAGTAGTACCTATTTAAATAGCCACTCACTCCTTTCTAGATATTTCGCGATCGAGGTTCTTCCGGAGTACCCATCGCGACTTCTTTTTCCAGCTTTTCATTAGTCGAGCGCTGCCGTCGGTGACGATGACTCACCACCGCCCATCACCCTTCATACTAGAAAACCCACAGGCGCCTTATTTGGGCGGCACATGCGTTTATTTCGTAACAGTATTTTCACGCACAAACTGCCTCTCAAGCTATAGGTTTCAATAAGAATTTAAATATTTTTAAACTGACTTCATAAACACTTTTTGAAGATAAATACATATATTATTATTAGTAATTTACATAATTTATTATTAGGAATATGTTGCTAGTTGAAACAAAGAGTTACTTAATGCTTTTAAAATAATATCAGTTTAACCAAATAGAAATCCTGATTTAATGAGTACCTAACTAGGGGAAAAAGTCAGGAAATTATTTATTTGCAAAAATATGTTTAAACAATCAAATGACATCGATATGATGAATTGATGACACATTTTGTAGAATTATGCATTTGTAGTATAGAAGGTATGTAAAGGCAATACAATATACAATCGAATTTTCAAGGTACAAGACTGCATCATAATTTTTTTTGCAATTTATTTATTTTTTTTTATTTACGGATGATGTTCTTGGTCAGTGGTCCTTTTGCTGAT